GCTGACAGAAACAAGAAGACTTATCCCACAACGAGTCAATAGAGAGGGAAAACGAAACGGATTACACTTAATAATGACCCATAATAATAGGGTCACACCTGTCCTATAAACACTAGTAAACACGACCTTTCCAACTTAATGCAAAAAAGGGAATACAATCCTTCTGAACCTGATGCCATAGACACCAAAATCCTACACGACTATCACACCCTCTACTAGTCATGAATTACAATAGGATGATTAGGGAATATTGACCTTCTGTCTTCTTTGTCATAGTGACCAGAATACCGTGACTCAAACACCCATCGGCTGGTGACGAACTCCAAATACACGGTAAGGGAATATCACCCTAATGTTTCCTTCAGCAATGGTATCAAAGTCCCTTCTCTCTATCACACACCGTTACACATCCCTCGCCGTTATCAACAGTAAATAGTCCTTAATTCCATGGTAAATAATTGATGCTCATTCCACTTGCCGTGTCCTGTGCTCTCCTGGTCCGTTATTCAGTGATATGTTGTAATTATAATTATGATTTTTCACTTTACATGAGAAGATTTTGTTTAACGTGGAGAGGAAACACACACGGGGTTAAGCTGTAGTAAGAGGGTTTTTGCTTCAGTGTATCACACCATCCATAAGAAAAGGTAATTTCACTAAAATATATATTCACGAAGAGAGAGAGAGAGAGAGAGAGAGAGAGATCAACATCCCTAAAAGCCTGCAATTTACAAATGTCTTCTCGGGCAAAACTAAACATTTCTTGTAATACAAATCCTTTTCCCTTCTACGAACGTAAACAGAATTCGTCTCCATCCGCGTTTTCTGACAATGTCTTCCAAGAACGCAAACAAAATCCATCCCATTCCAGTCTGTCTGACGGTGTCATCGCTCCCCGATTTTTGTTGTTGCAAATGTCTAAATATAAAATATGCGAAGTTTAGACTACGCAGACTGTGACGCTAGCCGCCGTGACGCCAGACGTAGTGACGCTAGACATAGTAACAGGAGGCCAAGCGTTACGAGAAGTGGCAGGGGGTAGCTGGTTAAGCTGGCGCGTTAAAATGGTTGAATTCAAGGGAGTGTAGTGTAACGGTGGTGCCTGGGCTTAGGGGAGTGATGTGTGGTAGGGATTAGGGACACACACACACACACACACAGTGTGTATACTCAGCCAGAAATGTCACACAGACGAAGCCACTCGGAACAAAACACATAAATTGTACCACACAAAAAACACTTCCATAAAAAAGTAAAAAAAAACAAGCAACAACAAAAAAAACAGAGAAATTATAGACTTGATCTTACGAGAAAGGATAAAATAAATCGTCCTGGCATTTTAGAGAGAGAGAGAGTGAGATAACATCACTCTTCCTCGTAGGCTGGAGGATGTGAAGGGTTGTGGAGGATCCGGCCTTTTAACTCGTAGATTACTTCAACATGTTAGAGCTTGGTCTCTCTCAGTAGGGGTGAATAGGGGAAAGGAGGGGGGTAGGAGGGTGGGGAAAGAGAGGGTAAGGTTAGATTATGAGAGAGAGGGAGGGAGGGAAGGGTGGGAGAAAGATGGGGAGGGTGGGAGAAAGGTGGAGGGAGAAGGAAAGAGAGAGTGTGAAGAAATATGGGGGAGAAAGGGGGAGAGATGAGGAAAAGAGAGAGAAAGAATACAGAGGAGAGGAAATAGAGAGGGTGGAAGAGGGAGGAGAGGGGAGGGGGAAGTGGAGGGGAGGGAAGACAGGGAGGAAGGGAGGGGCAATAAGAAAGAGAGAGCAGCAGGAAAGCGGAGGAATAAGAGGGAGGGAGGGAGGTGAAGGGGAGGTGGAAGGGGGAAGGATTATGGATGGTGAACAGGGAAAGAAGAAGAAAAGGTTAGGAGACGTGAGACGAAATAAAGGGAAAGAGAAGAAAGGAGGGAGAGGGAGGGAAGGAAAGATAGGGGAGGGAGAAAGGGGAGGAAATAAAACAGAAAGGGGATGAGAAAAAGAGGGGAACGGGAGGAAGGAGGAAGGGAGAAGGAAAGGTAGGAAGACACGAAGAATTAGAAAGTGATAGAAGTAAACGAAGGAAAATGGAAGGATTGAAGAAGGTGCATGTGGGGAGTATAGGAACTGAGCAGAAGAAGAGACGAAAGGGAAGAGTGAGAGAGAAAGGAGAGGAAAAATGGGAAGAGAAAATGGAAAGGAAATTGAAAGATAAGGAAGGAAGTGTAATAGGTAGGAAGGAAGGGAAGAAGGGTAAAAAGAAACAAAGAGAATGGAAAAGGGGAGAGAAATGAAAAAGGGAAGAAGAAAGTGAAGGATAATAAAAAAAGGAAGGGAAGGGAAGGAAAAGTAGGAAGAGTAATAAGAAGGGAATGGAAAGGAAAGGAAAGGAAGGGGAGGAGGTTATTGCAGGTTTTATCGTCCAGCTACAGAAGAGTTTTCCGTGTTGACTGGACAAAGGTCAGGCCGGAACACTTACTGTACACCGTGTTGTTACAGCCACACCGTCCCCCCTCCTCCCCTCACCTTTTACCTTCATGTGGATAAACTACAATGTGGATAAACTACGGATGTGGATAAACTACACATGTGCATAGACAACACGTGTGAATAAACTACACACGTGGATATATTACACATGAGGATAGACAACACGCGTGGATAAACTACAAATGTGGATAGACAACACGTGTGGATAAACTACAAATGTGGATAGACAACACGTGTGGATAAACTACACATGAGGATAGACAACACGCGTGGATAAACTACAAATGTGGATAAACTACAAATGTGGATAAACTACAAATGTGGATAGACAACGTGTGGATAAACTCCACATGTGGATAGACAACACATCTACTGTAAATCCACATGAATATTTACCACTGTATTAGATTATTACTTTGACTTTACACAGCAAAAAAATCAACAAAAAAAAGAAAGAATAAAAAAAATTTGGTTCCTTTAGTTGAAGCCCAAAAAATAAAATTGTGTTTTCTGAGAGACAAAGTCAAGACAATCTCGTTTCAGTGCAAATGTTGCTTTCTTCAAGTCTCGCTTAAAACGTTCTGGCCTCAGACTGCTCATGCTGGGGAGTTATGTCAACGTTTTAGCATTAGACTCTGGAAAACGTTGATGCTATTATCATCCAGAATAAAAAAAATAAGGGTTCAAAATTTTTTACTTGGCGTTTATATTTTGTGTGTGTTCTTTTCGTGATATTCTTTTGTTATTATAAGCTAAGAGGTGAGTTTTTATGTATCATATTGAGGATTGTGATATTATAACAGGATATAAATAATGGTGACATATGAAGCACCTTAACCAAAATAGACAGACGGACAGACAGACAGACAGAGAGACAGACAGACAGAGAGACAGACAGACACGTGTTGAGTTACAAGGATGGTCTGAGCAGAAATAATCATAGAGAAGATTTCATAGAATATCCCGGTATTTTCTTTTTATTATCCTACTAAAAGAAGGATCTCTGTTATTACCCCGTTAAAGGATCCTAACGGTGCAGGTCGTCCGTTAGTGTAATTCCTAAGATATCGCCTCACAATACAGGGAACAAGACAACACTCATGTATTACCACCACAGACAAAGGCAGGGTGGAACATTGGGCTGTTGTCGTGTGTGTGGACAGTGATAAGCCTCCATCACTCCCCTTGAGTGAGAGGGAACATGGGCAAAACAATCGGTGCTGTGTTTGCTCCATGGTCAAACTTATCACCACAAGACAAAAATAGTATGAAAGCTAAATGTCTCATCAATAATCAGTTACATACTTCCGCTATAGTAAATTCAGTTTGAGTCACAACACATTTTATTCTTTAAGCCATCATTACACTAAGACACTTAGCTGAACTTCATCAATTTATACCTCCTTCACTCCTTCAATTTCATATATTTACAATTTCCTGCTTTACGTGTTTCTCCATCCATCTACAACTTTCATCTCTTGAAAGGAAAACCAATAGTGCTTGAAGTACAATAGTAAGGTTTAAATTTACTTATAGGAGTTAGTTCAGAGGGACGTACGGACAGACAAACAAGAAAAACACCCTATGACAGACACACATCGAGTATGAAGAGTAATCCAAAAATAGGCCACGATTACTGTCCCTCCTCTGGCGTCCCGAGAGTGATGGCAGTAAACAGGAACTAACCAAACCATTGTAAATACCAGGTACAATAATTAGCACTAAATGTGGGTCAGGCATAAACGGGGCCTAATGATACTGCTTGATGGTCATGTTGATTATGTTTCGGGCAATTAACTCTGGACATGTATTGCTTATTGAACACTGCTTCTTGATATACTGTATTCGTGTATACCCGTAATACAAACGTGTACAGTATACCTGTAAAACTCATTTATACACCTGTAGTACACAAATGGCTCCTGGAATACACATACTGTACATCTACTACTTAAATGTATCCCGAAACTTGTATCTACAATATACATGTGTATATCTCTAATATATACAATACTTTAATACGCACACATACATCTGTAACACGAACACACTTACAATGCATATACACACCTGTAATATATACCTATACACCCCTGATATAAATGTTAACACCTGTAACACCTTGTAGGTAGTAGGTATTAGGCAGCTACCAAACATGGAGGTACTACCGCCTGGGAAGATATTGGAAGCATAATGTGTTGTCTAATGGTAGACCCTGCTGCCATATGGCATCACGACTATTGTGACCAAGTCCCAGGTTGCTCATCTGGCTTTCTGCCTCATTTACACACAATTGCAGGGTCTCAATTGTTTCTCTTACTATTGACAACACAACATACATATATTGTTCCTCACTTTTGAATTTGTTTTTCATTTTGTATTTTTTTGTGGTTCTTTATTATTATTATTATTATTATTATTATTATTTCGTCCCCCAGGCCCCGATGTGGGTCAGTGACCTGTGCCTGGGTGGGCTAATTCCCGTAAAAAAAATAAATAAAAAAAAAAATTAACGCTCCTCTTTGTGAACAGCGTCAGTGGGTGCAAAACCGCGGACGATGTGGGGAGTGTGGGGACCCCTGGGACCTGCCTCGACCCCGACCAAACGAAGCTGGGGGCATGTGGAGCACCGGGATCATCTCCAGGGTGTACCGGGAGGGCGAGGTGAGTATACTGGTTACTAGGAGAGCCAGGTGAGTGTATTACGTATACCCGGAAACTCATAAACTTCAAAAATAAAAGAGCAGAATCCACTACACTGAAATCGTGAGGTGATGAAGCCAAGACTGAAGTTATGATGTTTGAAACAGTTTTGTGAATCGTAAGTAAGGTCAGAAGACGAGTTAGGTCATGAGTCTGAAACAATGGCGGTATAACTATGAGACCTGAAGCCTCAACTCTCAAACCTGCCTTACCACCTGATCAAGACAGTGTTTCTCGGCAGGTACTGACGGTGACGGTTCACCTGACGGCGAATCACATGGGCTGGTTCGAGTTCCGTCTGTGTCCCAACAATGACCCGACCCAGTACGTGAAGCAGAGCTGCCTTAATAAACACGTCCTCCGCTTACTGGACTACCCCGGCACCAGGTGAGTGGGGTGAGGAGGGCGAAGTGTGAGGATGTAGGGAAGAAGTGTGAGGAGGGTGAGTAGGGAGGGGCGAAGTGTGAGGAGGGAGGGGAGAAGTGTAAAGATGGTGAGGCGAAACAGGAGGAGTGTGAGAGTGAGGAGTGTGAGAGAAGAAGTGTAAGGAGGGTGAGCGGCGGGGCAGTGTGAGGAGGTGAGGAGGGAGGAAAGAGGTACAAGTCCAACAACACAAGACGTAGCTCCGACTGGCACTACCCGGACATCAGGTCAGTGTTGGAAGGCGTTAGGAGGAAGGAGGAGTGACTGTACCCCATGGATTAGGGGAGAGAGGGCACGTGGGGAGTTGGGAGGGAGAGAGAGGGGGGGAGAAGAGGAATTAAGGGATGAATATAAAGGAGAATGGGAGAGATGCATACAGAGAAAGGAGGAGGAAGGAGAGGAAGGAGAGGAAGGAGGGGATACATATGGGGGAAGGAAGAGAGGAAGGAGGAATATACATACAGGAGGAGGTGGGGAGGGGTGCGTGTCGAGGAGGGGGGGAGACAAAGGAACTAGAGAGAAGGGAGAGGAAATGAATGAACATGAAAGGGGAGAATGAGAAGAGAACCAATAGAGAATGGATAAAACACAGTGGACATGGGGAAGAGATGAAGAGATGACACTTAGAGCGAGACGAGGGAGACATGTGGAGAGGGGAGAAGAAGATGAAGTCAGACATAGACAAGAATAAATTATTTCATTAGAGGGGAAAGAAATTAGATAAAAGGGAGAGGAAGACACCGAGTAGGGGGGAGAGGGGGAGGTAAGTGTGTGGGAGGAGAAGAGAAAAACCCAAATAAGGGAAACAGATGGTAAGGATTAATAGGTTGGAGATAAATATTAGAATGAGAAAGATCGACAGAGAATAACAATAGAGTTTGAGGATTGATGCAAGATACAAAATATACAGGAATAAGGAAAGGATAAGTAAGAAGTAATGATGAAGAAGTCAGGTTGGCAGGATGTGGCTCACCTAACATGATAAAGTTATCATTGTGTCTAAAAGAAATAGCTATGGGTTTCTAAACATATAATAATTCTTTTTAACAGTACCTCCCTCAGCTTCTGAAGCCTCTAATTATGTAAAACTTTAAAATCTGAAGTACTGATTATATAAACTGTTAGCATGTGAAGTTGTCATTATCTCAACCCTAGACACACAAGTCCTCATTATCTACACCATCAACATCACAAGATCACACATTTTTAAATCGTGAACCATTTCCAGCTTAATTCTCTCGTAAAAATCAGAATCCAGTATTGCGTCTGGCTGCTCTAAACGCCGGCTCGAGTATCTCCTTATCTTCCTAACCGGCATCTTGAGTGCCACTTGGACCATTAACTCTGCGTCTGGAGTGCCACTCACATCGTCTCGTCGACAGGTACCACCTGAAGCACTCCCAGACCGGGCTCTTCCGTATCCGTCTCCAGCTGCCACCCGGCCTCACCTGCACCCAGTGTGTCGTCCAGTGGCACTACACGACAGGTGAGTGGCTGTGGCACTGTACGACAAGCTAGTGCGTGCTACTACACGACAGTTGGCTGATGGCGTCCAGAGGCACTACACAATAGGAGAGTATGTGTCACGACACGACAGATGAGTCCATTCCTCTACAAGACAGGTAAGTGTGGTAGTGACATAATACGACACATGACAGAACGTCTTTATGGCAGTTGGGCACTACACGACACATGAGTGTGTCGTCCAGGAACACTACACGACAGATGAGTGTGTCGTCCAGGAACACTACACGACAGATGAGTGTGTCGTCCAGGAACACTACACGACAGATGAGTGTGTCGTCCAGTAACACTACACGACAGATGAGTATGTCGTCCAGGAACACTACACGACAGATGAGTGTGTCGTCCAGTAACACTACACGACCGATGAGTGTGTCCAGGAACACACGACAGATGTGGTCCAGAACTACACGACAGATGGTTCGTCCGACACTCACGACAGATGGTGTCGTCCACACGACAGATGTATGTCGTCCAGGAACGACAGATGAGTGTGTCGTCCAGGAACACCACGACAGATGAGTGTGTCGTCCAGAACACTACACGACAGATGAGTGTGTCGTCAGAACACTACACGACAGATGAGTGTGTCGTCCAGGAACACTACACGACAGATGAGTGTGTCAGTAACACTACACGACAGATGAGTATGTCGTCCAGGAACACTACGACAGATGAGTGTGTCGTCCAGGAACACTACACGACAGATGAGGTGTGTCATCAGTGGCACTACACGACAGATGAGTGTGTCGTCAGTAACTCACGACAGATGAGTGTGTCGTCCAGTAACCTACACGACAGATGAGTATGTCGTCCAGTGGCACCACGACAGATGAGTGTGTCGTCCAGTGGCACTACGACAGATGAGTGTGTCGTCCAGTAACACTACGACAGATGAGTGTGTCGTCAAGTACCGACAGATGAGTATGTCGTCAGACACTACACGACAGATGAGTGTGTCGTCCAGTAACACTACACGACAGATGAGTGTGTCGTCCAGTAACACTACACGACAGATGAGTGTGTCGTCCAGTAACACTACACGACAGATGAGTGTGTCATCCAGTGGCACTACACGACACATGTGGCACTATACGTCAGATAAGTACGTGAGCCAAATGTAGGTACATTAGTTTAGTACATACTGATGCTAATGTTATTGTCTGTATGTGTGTGTGTGCTTCTATGTAATTGTATGTTACATGAGTGTTTGTGCATGCGTACATGTCTGCATAAAAAAGCTGTGTGACTAAGCTGTATGACTAAGAGACAATGGATTACTAAAATAATTCAAGAATGTGTGACACTGTACTATAGGGAATAAGGAAAAGAAAAAGGAGTGGCAAAATGCACTTCCTCAGGTCACTTCTGAAGCTGATTATATCCACGTGTTTCAGGCAATAACTGGGGGTTCTGTAAGGACGGCAGCAACAAGCCCGGGTGTGGCCCCAGAAAGTGTTCCGCGGGTGCTCCGACATCGCCGTCTACGATCACAACGACCCCACCTACTTCCAGTTCGCCAACCTCACCAAAGAGTCAGACCTCTCCAAGTTCCTGCAGCTCAAGACACCGAGGAACACGACGGGAATCCTTACGACGATCAGTTTAATCTTGACAATAGTGGATTTGTTGACCCCTTCGACACTACTGACGATGAGGAAGGTCTTGTCCAGGGCGAGCCGGATCACCTCACTAACTTCGAGGATAATTTCAATCGTGATTTCAATGGAAGGAACGAAGTGACGCCCCCCTCTCAGTGAGTGGACCAGTCGTAAACCAGTTCTTGACCTTCCACAGAGACACCGACCCAACATCTAAACCTTCTATCACCTTCGTCGACGACATCAAGTCAAAGATTCACGACAACAACGACCAACAACTGTCCTCGGGCGTCCCTCTACCTAAAGAAACCTTCTCTCTCGACGGTCCCACCTTCAGGGATCCCCAGTACTTCAACGAGAGACAAAACGCCCTCCCAAGCTCATCACAAAAGAAATATGTGTCATCTGATGACTTCAGGAGAGCTATACAGTTTGAAAGAGACGACCGAAGTAGTCAGCTATCTGCCCCTACTCCCTTCCTGTCTCTTATTAATGATGACAACAACCAGCCTGTGGTCATCAACTCATACGACAGGGTCACACCAAGCCCCTTGGGTCCTCCCTTGGTACTTCCTCACCCTCAGTCCCCCAGTCAACGGTCAATTATTACGCCGGGGAGAATCCACTCAGTCCACTCAGACCAGCCGCCAAGTTACAGACCTCTAGCGAAAACGGCAGAGAGAACAGATTCAGGAGACAGTAATGGGGTGCGAGAAGGCGGCGCTCTCGTCACAACGGGGTCAACCGGTACCACTACAAGGCATTGCTCCTGTGACGATGCAAGTGTTGCAGAACCTTCCAGCACTATTGCAAGGCGACGAGTCTTCTGGAAGTCCACCTTTAGCCTTGCAGGTCTGTTGATATACCTTTTTATTACACCTCCTCCCTAGTGCACTCCTCTGTATTCTGATTTCCTATCAACCATAATCCATTCCTAAACATGGTGTGTAAAATGATCACCAAGCTTCATAACCTCCCCCTAACACTACTTACAACATATATAATGGTAGTCATTATACAGTCAACAAAAGCTTCCAATTCTATCACTGTTGTTTCTGTGTTTTACACAATTAATTCTTAATGACCTTCATAGTTCACCCAATCCTGTATAAAGAGGATTATAGAGAACTGGTAACCAAAATATGCATTGATTAGTGTTTTATGTAAGTCTGTAATCCGTTTATGAATTTTGTATTTTATTGAGTGCTGCAATTAACATGTAATGCTTAAATCATCCTTTCAGGAGAGTCTTTCTGTATCTTATTCCAAGTTATATTGCAGGAAATGTTGCCTTCGTACTTCTTACTTTATTTTAAGATTCTATACTTAAAATTCACCAGCAATATGTTTCAGTGTGATGTACGACCACCGCTTCTAATACAACTAGTCACTGCCGTAAATTACACTGTTAACCGTATCCTGAATGTTGTCATAAAATTCATATACATTCACTTTAAGCTCATGAACTTTACATCATACAGTCTCCCTATTTCAGTTCTGCATATTTACATAATGCTTCACGTTGCTGTCTACCATAGTATCGTAATTGTACTTTGGATTAAATGCTGCCTCTGTCTTGTTATTGAGTCACACTAGATTTTATCTCGCATGACCAATTCCAATTAAAATAGTTGATGACCATAGTTCGTACCACCCGACAGTACGACACTTCAGGTTCAGGTACTAAGTGTTACTCCTATTATGTCCTTGGCGTCTGTATTACAGATCTTTTACAAGTTTGTTCTATATTCCAGCTTTATATTTGCTGACCACACTGGCCGACACTCAGTCAACTGCTTCTGGAACAGTACCAACGACTGCCTCTAATATATTATTTCCTTCAATGTCTATTTATTTAGGATGATATTTGAACATTTTAATTTGCTTAATGTTACCGTACCGAGGACTGAGTCAGTCAAGTGGATACAGCATGACCTCCTGCCCTAAAGGTCGCTGTTTCGCACATAAAGAACCACAGTCCACCCAGCTGTGAATGGGTACATAACTAAACATTTGGGGAGGTGTAAGTGGTCGTGTGTAGTGCCTACACTGATTCCTTGTTTCTAGAGCGGCTTAGTGTACACCGTGCTGTACTCTACTGCCCTTGGGACCTGTGGGACCCACTTTCATCATATTCCAAGTGTTGTTCTGTATTTTGCTTGGCGTTACCACACTCATATGTTACCACTATTTACCTTTTGGTTAACATAACACTGTATCCCCAATGTCCATTGTTCATATATCTTTTGCATCTGTTGATCATTGTTAACAGTACCAGACTTATTTACTAATGGTGAGGACTTTGCAGGTGCCGCTGTCCAGCCTCAACAGTCATGAGTCCATCGAGCGTTTGCTCCTCCTTCAACGGGCCCTCACCCTCGCCTCCTCCTCCTCGAATAAGCCGTCTCCCTTCGTCCTAATCTTGGTCTAGGAGTGACGTTATCCTCCGCCTCCTCCAGGATAGAGGCCCCATCGTCTTCATCTTGGTTATTTTATGTTATTTCTTGTTTATTTACATGTTTTCTCAATCCTAAATCCGTAGTCGACTTCATATTCAACTCCGAGTGATGTCAAATTGTTTTCCAATTAACCTAATACTTGTTTTCAATTGAAGTCATGTGGTCTGCAAATGACGTTATACTGGTCAACAATGACATCATATAAATATACTATTAATGTCATATAGGCCTGACAATGACGTCAATCTAATTTACAAGTGACGCCATAATAATCTCAGCACCGTCACACTTATCTATAAATGAAATAATATTCTCTAAGAGTGACGTCATCAATAGTACCATAAAAAACGTAAGTTATAAAGGAAAAACTATTTTATAAATTGCTTTGTTGTACACAATAATCTGCCCTTGTTATATAGGTTAAGGATCCAACGACTGTAAATACAAAAGAACTGTAGAATGTAGAATCGGAATGAGGTGTTTGTTGTTACTGTGACTACTAACACTGTTGTTGTAGCTGTTAGTTAAGTCAGATTCTCTCTTGAGATGATGTAAGCATTTACCTTTAGTCCTGAGTTAAGGTCTGATTTGTATATGTTAAATGGCCATTTTTTAATTACTTATGGATGTATTTTCATTTTGCAAGTTCCCCATTGTTACTAAATACTGTTGTGTGTTGTACACTGAAGAACACTGATTAAAAACATCGACGTCAGTGATAAGAACAACTACAACAAAAATAACAATAACTATCACAACACCAATACCACAACAAGCCAACAACAACAACAAAATATGGAAGCACAGAAATAAAATAAAAAAGGAGGAAGAAAGAAAAGGTAAAAGAAAGAAAGAAAAGAGACTGTGTGTGAGCGTAGGAGTTAGAGGTCCTGGGAGGCCATGAGAGCCCCCAACCAACACCAGCAGCAGCAATAACAAGACTCGGTGCACCACAGACCCTCACCGCCCTCCTCTTCATTACCGTCCACCGTCTTCCTCCTGCTCTTCAAGTGGGTTGTTCCCGGGGCCGATTTTTACCTGGATTGGGCAGTTCTTGGTCACGTTTTGGGAGGGATTGTAGGTGTGGTGTGTGTGTGTGTGTGTGTGTGTGTGCCAGGTAGGTAGTTTCAGCCTAACGTTTCAGGGAGGTGATATAGTTCAGGACGAGTATCAAGTCAATTGGTTAGTTCGAGGCCACATATCTGGAGAGGTTATGTTGCGGTTGAGGTAAGTTAATTTTTGGTTGATTGGCGAGAGTTTGTACTGTTGTGGAGGGAATGTGGTGGTCCCTGCTGGCCGGTGGGTCATCTGGGTACTGTCAGTCTAACTTTTCAGGGAAGTGATATTTCAGGGTAATTTCTTTTTGGGTGAATTAGCAGCTTGTAATAACGTTTGTGGGTCAAGTGTCAAGAGTGAATAAGGCCGTTAAAGGCTGCTGTTTGAAGGAACTAGCATTCCTGGGTAAGTCTGATAACTCTAATATGACGTATTTTAACTTAATAACTCTTAGAACGACGTTACTTAGCAGCAATAGTTAAGGGGAATTAAAGGCTTTTTCATATTGTTAACCCCTTGTGTACGGAGGCTCTCTGTACTAAATAAAATCGTCTGCCGTTAGCCAAATAAAGTGACGTCCCTGTAGTGAAGAGGTTAAACCAAGACTGGAAATTTATGAGACCAACTTTAGCTTCAGGATAAAACAAATGTCTAAGAAAGTTACCAAATAACATACGAGTATCTTAAGTCTTGATGTCTTGCTTATGTTTCCAAGAACAAAGAATTCTAATTTCGTCAACAAGCAGAAAGAAGAGGTAGAGTCCAAGGTGTGTTTAAGACTACCCAAGTGATCTCATAACGACCTCCCCCATCTTCTTACAACCCCCCCCACCCCCCACCTCTCCTCCAATACTTTTATCAGCCTCCACCCCCCCCTCCATTTAGTGTAACTGACGAAAGAGTGTGGATTAAAAGATAGATAGAGATATATATAGACAGTGTGTATGTGTGTGTGTGTGTGTGTGTGTGTGTGTGTCTGTGTGTGTCTGTGTGTGTGTGTGTGTGTGTGTGTGTGTGTGTGTGTGTGTGTTTCAGCCAGGTCCAACTATCCAAGAATCATAGGTCCGTCGATGTGTCATGATAAAGTTTTTGAGAGTGAGAGAGAGAGAGAGAGAAAAAAAGAGAGAGAGAGAGAGAGAGAGAGAGAGAGAGTGTGTGTGTGTCAGCGTTAAGGATGATAAAGCCGCCAGAATAATCTCCTTTTCAACACTATCGACACCTTCCCTGTGGTCCCCCAAGGCCTATACACGTATCACTGTTCCGATGCTATAACTTAATTAAGTTGATAGATGTGAACTTAGAGAGTAAAAACTAATTCTATTTTTCTTCAGCTTTAAGTAGCAGAATTACTTATATAAGATGGATCACACCACAATGAGTAAAATTCCCCAGTTTTTTCGACTTTAAGTACAGGAGTTACTTTAATCACAAGATGACTCCCAGCATGAAACTTAGTGCACGAGAATGACTTCCACCAGCTTGAGTAAAATCAATGCTCTTACTTTAAATTCTCCTTTAAATACTAAAATTAATCACAAATGAACTCTCATCTTCAAAAAAAAATTCTTTATTTTTCCCAAAGACAAATGAACGATAAAAGAGTAAATCAATTTTCTTTACTTTTTCCTCAGGATAACTCCCATGCACAAAGAGTAAAATCACATGGCCTAAAATAATTTTCCTTGTTCACTATGTATAAACACGACTCAAATAGCAAGATGGACGTCACCTCAAGAGTGTAGGAACAATATCTCACCTTTTACTCTGTCCTGTCACCACAAAACACCTCAACACGCACCAAGATTCACTCCTTCTCTTTTTTACGTCTTCGCTCTTTATCAGCCTCTGTCCTTCTATTCCTTCTTTGTAATTCCTCCTTACATTATTACCGTCATCCCTTCATTTTCTCATGTCTCCTTATCTCCTTTATTAGTATTTCCATTTATATTTCCAGTCTATTCCTCTTCTCTCTCTCTCCTCTGACTTCTTCAGCTCTCCATTTCCTTTTCTCTCATACTCTCCACTCTCTCTAAATTCCTTCTCTCTTTTACTCTCTCCTCTCCCTCTCTCGTATTCTCTCTCTCACTTTCTTCCCTCTCTTTACCCCCCTCTCACTCTCTTCCCTATCTGTCTCTGTTCCTCTGCCCCCTTTCCCTTTCATCTCTTCAGTCTCCTCTAACTGCATTACTCTGTCTGATTTCATTCAATTAATTTTTATGTGTCTCTGCCCTGTCATCCCCTATCCTTCTCCCCTCCCTCTTCCTGTTCACTCTCATCCCCGTGTTCTCTCTTCTCATTTCCCCTCTCTCCTGTCGTCTCCTCTCCCTCTCTGTTATCTCCCCCGTCTTCCCTGTCCTCTCTCCCTCCCCCCCTGTCTTGTTCTAAATTTCTTCTTTCTTCATCTCTTGTTTCATTATTCTTTATGCTACTCCACCTTGTTTTTTTTCTTAGTCTATTATTCCTTTTCTCGTCTTCATTCCCCTTCCTACCATCTCCAACTTTACTCTTCTGTCTCACCTCCATTTTCTCCAATTTCTCTTTTTCTCTGTCTCTACTCTCACATCGATTCCTCTCTTTTATCTCTTTCTCGCTCTGTTTCTGTCTTCACATCTCTCTCTCTCTCTACCTTTCCTTCTCACTCTCTCTCTTAGCCTTTCAACATACTCTCTCTCTCTCTCTCTCTCTCTCTCTCTCTCTCTCTTCTTCTGCCAGCCTATCCACGTCCCCCACCTGAGACTGGGGAGGAGGGAGGATGATTGATGAGCCGCCTCGGGGTGGTGTCGAGGAGTGGGCAGATGACGCCCAACACCCACTAATAATTGTTGCTCTCGCACGTGTCAGTGTTTTGTGGTGTCCTGCTGTCTCATGCTGCCCCTCAACACAGTTTTAGAGTGCTGCCCTCTACACAGTTTTGGGAGTGCTGCACCTCTACACAGTTTTAGAGTGCTGCACCTCTACAGTTTAGGGAGTGCTGCACCTCTACACAGTTTAGGAGTGCTGCCTCTACAGTTTAAGTGCTGCCCCTCAACACAGTTTTAGGGTGCTGCCTCTACCGAGTTTTAGGGAGTGCTGCCTACAGTTTGAGGCTGCCCATCTACACAGTTTGAGTGCTGCCCCTCTACACAGTTTTAGGGAGTGCTGCACCTCTACAGTTTTGGGAGTGCTGCCCTCAACACAGTTTTAGGGGAGTGCTGCCCTCTACACAGTCTTAAGTGCTGCCCTCTACACAGTTTTGGGGTGCTGCCCTCAACTTTGTTTAGGGGTGCTGCCCTCAACACAGTTTGAGAGTGCTGCCCCTCAGCAACCTGATTTTGAGAGTGCTGCCCTCTCTCACAGTTTTAGGGAGTGCTGCCCCTCCTTTGTGAGGGTGCTGCCCTCAACACAGTTTGAAGTGCTGCCTCTACACAGTTTAGGGAGTGCTGCCCCTCTACACAGTTTGGGAGTGCACACAGCTTGGTTTGAGAGTGCTGCCCCTCACCACAGTTTTAAGTGCTGCCCCTCTGCAGTTTAGGGGTGCTGCCTCAACACAGTTTGGGGAGTGCTGCCCTCACTTCAGTTTTAAGGAGTGCCCCCTCAGCTTTTAGGGTGCCCTCTGCACAGTTTGGGGAGTGCTGCCCCTCAACACAGTTTAGGGAGTGCTGCCTCTACAGTTTAGGGGTGCTGCCTCACTTGATTTTAGGGAGTGCTGCCCTCTGCACAGTTTTTGAGAGTGCTGCCCTCAACACAGTTTGGGGAGTGCTGCCCCTCAACTCAGTTTTAGGGAGTGCTGCCCTCTACACAGTTTTTGAGTGCTGCCCTCAACACAGTTTTAGGGGAGTGCTGCCCTCAACACAGTTTTAGAGAGTGCTGCCCTCAACACAGTTTTAGGGGTGCTGCCCCTCAACACAGTTTTAGGGGGCTGCCCTCCAGATTTTGAGGAGTGCTGCCTCTACACAGTTTTAGGGAGTGCTGCCCTCAACACAGTTTTGAGAGTGCTGCCCTCCAACACAGTTTTAGGAGTGCTGCCCTCAACACAGATTTTAAGGGTGCCTCAACCAGTTTGAGTGCTGCCCTCTGCACAGTTTTGGGAGTGCTGCCCCTCAACACACTTTTAGGGGTGCTGCCCTCTATGCATTTTGAGGGGTGCTGCCCCTCCAACACAGTTTTAGAGTGCTGCCCCTCTGCACAGTTTTAGGGAGTGCTGCCCCTCAACACAGTTTAGGGAGTGCTGCCCTCAACACAGTTTTAGGGAGTGCTGCCCCTCAACACAGTTTTAAGGAGTGCTGCCCTCTGCACAGTTTTAGGAGTGCTGCCCTCTCACAGTTTTAGGGAGTGCTGCCCCTCTACACAGTTTTGGGAGTGCTGCCCCTCAACACGGTTTTAGGGAGTGCTGCCTCAACACAGATTTTAGGGAGTGCTGCCCTCTGCACAGTTGAGTGCCCTCAGCACAGGTTGGAGTGCTGCCCCTCAACACAGTTTAGGGGTGCTGCCCTCAACACAGTTTTAAGTGCTGCCCCTCAACACAGTTTTAGATGCTGCCCCTCAACACAGTTTTAGGGAGTGCTGC